AGTGTTGAAATCAAATCTGACAGTGTTAATTTGGACATGCTGGATTTGCTGTGTACCTGGCAATGGGAAGGCGTTTAGTCTTTTGGAATTGGACTGAGGCCACCTTCTCTAAAGGTCTTCTTGGCCCTGTGGTTTTGGTGCAGGCTTAAGTCCAATTAAAGTCTTCACACCTGCCCACGTGAACCACACCAAGGCAGAAGACAAACCAGAGGTAGATTTAAATGAACCAGATAGTTATTACTACTACTGTGACACAGCCGTCGGTTCGTGAACTCCTATTATTAAACCTTAAGATGAACATTTTTTCATTACTGTCTTGATGTTTTAAAAACAGACATGGTGGAGCGAGGGATCTGCAGAAATTAGCTTCTCTTTTGAGACGCTGAAGCTACGCCCATCTTTTATATACAGTCTTGGTATTGAAATGCAAACTTGCTGGTAGAAACTTCTCAAGTATATATAGATTTTTTTCTCAGCTGGTTGGTTTGATGAAGTTCGCCAAATAATATACTAAACATTTGGATACTTAGGCATGTATTAATGCTCTTTCTGCTGTGCCTGGATTGTGTCCAGTGCTATGTAATTTATTTATTTATTTATTTATTTTCATCTGTGGTGAGATGAAATAAAACTATTTTCCCCTCACATGCAAGCTCTTTTTCTTTGCAAACTAGAATGTATAAATAAATAAATAAATAGTAAATCTGAAGAGTACTCACTCCGATGCACAATAGCAGTCACTTCCACTCTGAAACATAATAGTGCGATACAGCAGGAATTCACTGTTAGTGAAAACACGTAGGACGAGACTGTCAGCAGTAAGAAAGAGTCTGCTGCGTTCTGACAAAAGATCTAAAGATTCTTTACCACTGTGGATTACACAACGGAGGGAACGTGGTATGCAAGTGACACTGGCTTGTTCATTCCTAGAAAAAAATCATTTCGAAAGATTTTTGTGCAACTTTCTGAAGGCTAATTTTTGTTTTCTTTGAAGCTTAGATGAGCTGATGTGGGAACTTAAAAAATGTTGCAAAAAATGAGACAAAATTGAGACTGCAAGGTGAACTCACAGAAGATCCTTTTTTTTCCATTTGTCTTTTGGAGTAATATTCACTCACATTTTGAGTAATCTATTTTGTAGAAACGGGTACAGAATTGGTTGTTTATCCCCTCAGTGGCTACTTTTTGATGAACGGGAAAAGAAGAGGTGAATTTGATACACAAGTTGATCCAAAAAACTGGCAATTATATCGTAACTACTCTTTTTCTCGTTCAGCTGCGTGTTGAACAGCTGTGAGGACCACTCTTGCGGCTCTTAATGTAGTGCAGCAATAATAGCAGGTTCCAGTGATATTTAAAGTTTATGTTGCCAAGCGCGTGTCCTCGAAACTCCACAGTGTGTCTTTGAAGGTTGTGCGACTGTATGATGAACGACATTGTCGTGTCACATGCTTGCGCACAAGGTTGTTCTGAAGTGGAATCAGTATAAGAGAGTGCGATGTGAGGAAGAAAATGTTCCAGACGATCTGAAGAAATAAATACATTCATGCATAAAATAAAGACACTTCAATTTTTTAACAATTTATTTCCATGCTCTGAATTTTCTTGTCCGTGGAACACCCCTCCACCCCCACCCTCTTCGTGGTATCTGCACCAAGGACCAGAATCAAAGACAGCGCCACGTTTATACGTGAGCTGCGTCAGGAAGCTTCTTGGAGAGATGAGGCGCACAAAATCTCAGAGCAACACAACAAGCTCGTGAAGAACTGTGTCGCCTGTGCGCACAGAAACATTTTATTTGTTTTTGTTTCGCAGAAAACTCGCACATAGAGCCAAATACAAAGATTATTTCAATGGTGCGAGTCATTTGGATCTGATCATGACTTAAACACTCTCGTGGATAAAAGTTAATTTAAAAAATGTCTGGAGAATTTAGCGACACTGCTTATGAAGGCTCGCCAGGGATCGTCTATGCTGCTTCCTTTAACTTGAGCTATGTTTTTAACACGACCAACAGCTCGTACGAGGACTACCTCCACCTGTCAGACTCTGAGAAAGCTGACTCTGTGGGAGATGGAGCCGCTGTTGTAAGGATTATCATCTCGATCATTTACTCTCTGGTTTGCGCGCTGGGTCTGGTTGGAAACTTGTTGGTCTTGTACTTAATGAAGTCTAAACATGTGTGGAAAAAATCCTCCATCAACCTTTTCGTAACTAGTTTGGCGGTGACTGACTTCCAGTTCGTCCTGACTCTGCCCTTCTGGGCTGTGGAAAACGCTTTGGACTTCACTTGGCTTTTCGGCAAAGCGATGTGCAAGATAGTGTCCTATGTGACGGCAATGAACATGTACGCCAGCGTTTTTTTCCTGACCGCCATGAGCGTGGCGAGGTACTGGTCACTCGCGTCTGCCCTGAAAGGCAGGCGGAGGCGGGCTCACTGCTGTTCCGCGCGGTCCATCACCGTTATCATCTGGGTTTCCGCAGTCTCCGCCGCTCTGCCGCACGCGGTTTTCTCCACGACGGTGACAGTTTCCAACGAGGACCTGTGCCTCGTCAAATTCCCGGAAACCAACGGATCGGCGCAGTTTTGGCTCGCGCTCTATCACTCTCAAAAAGTGTTGCTTGGCTTCGTGGTGCCTCTGGGCATCATCTCAGCCTGCTACCTGCTCCTTTTGCGCTTCATCACCTCCAAAAACATCAACACCTCGAGCGCCAAGCGACGCGCCAAAGTCACAAAGTCCGTCACCATAGTGGTCTTGTCCTTCTTTCTTTGCTGGCTGCCCAACCAGGCTCTCACAGCCTGGGGCATCCTCGTGAAACTCAACGTGGTTCACTTCAGTTATGAGTACTACAGCATGCAAGTGTACGTGTTCCCCGTGTCCGTGTGCCTTGCGCACTCCAACAGCTGCCTGAATCCCATCCTGTACTGTCTTATGAGGCGGGAGTTCAGAAAAGCGCTGAAAAAACTCTTCTGGCGGATGACATCGCCGACTCTGACCACCTTAAGACCGATCACAGCCACCACAAAGCCGGAGGCGGACGAGCAAGGGCAGGTCCTGGTCCCCGTGTGCGCACCCGAGGAGCCCGCAGTGGTGTTTTATCCTCCAGGGGAAGTGATTTACAATGACAGGCGAGACCTACCCCAGAACAGCGCTTAATCTAAGGCACGTTTTAAATCCTGTGTGATGTTGTATTCATACACATTTACATCAGTCAGGTCAGTTTTGTTTGGCTCACAGCTGTCCAAGTTGGAGGAGGAAAAATGTCAAACAGAAGCGCTTATGACTCATGTTTGTCCACAGAAATGCTACTTTGGCTTCACCCTGGTTGAGATTTTAAAAAGCCAACTTACTGGTGTTCTTACCTATGAGAAAATATTATATTTTAATAAGGTGTCAAAACATATATTAAATGTGCAGGTAAGGTGCATCAACAAAATGTGAGACATTTGCTCATCTTCGCCCCGTCCTTATCTTGAATGACATTTAGTTGTTAAATGCCACTATAATGTTACAGAGAATGTTTCACAGACCTGTGCTGATTGTGTGTGTGTTGGGGGGGAGGGGGGTCCACGGAGGGCTGCATAGACTGATGTTTTGAACTGTGGGAGGAAAAGTTTGATTGACGCATATGGAGAAGAGGTGTTATAATTAAGTATGACGGACACTGCATACATTTGTTGCTACTGCAGAATTTACTGAATTTTAAAAATAAATTAAATGGGAGATTCGTTTTTATTTAGCTGTTTTATGTTTTGCTTTTTTGCAATTTGATGAATTTAGAAAAACGTGCTTTTAAAAGTGTTTTCATTTCAAGCTCCATTATTTAGAAATCAAAATACAAACGTATACCTTTACATGCCAAAATGAGAGTGACCACAACCTATCACAGAATGAGTAATAATTCCTTTAAAAACACCACCCCACTCAACCCCACCACTCGTGACTGCTAGATGGGAGCACATAATCAGATCTCATTTACTCACATCCATTCGCTGAGAGGGCAGCGATGACTTTTAATAAACAGAGAGCAAAGTTCTCAGTAAATATAAATCGAATTTAAAAGCAGTCAAAAATGGCATTTCACTGACAGCTTCAGTCTCCTCCCTCTCCTCCCTTTCTCTCCTGTTGATGATGCAGTGTGAGCAGAATAAAATCCTCCCTGAAAAGCTATTCATGTGTCCACATTGAACCCCCCCAAAAATAAAATAAAATAAATAATAATACAGTCAATTAAGTGCTTAAGACCATTTAAAGACTCTCATTTGGTTAATATGCCTCCAGAGCCTTCAGTCCATCATCTGTTGAAGCTGTGAGCCCATGACATAAAACAGTGACGGAAAAAGAAACAAAAACACCTAAATACTAACAGGTGTCTTGCAAAGCCACAAAAATAACCAACATTATGGGATGAAGAGAATATATATACACATGGCAACAGGCTAATCTAATTACAAGTGAATGCCAAACAGCTCCAGGACCTTGTTTTAAATTAGTACACCAGAGAAATGATTCATGTGGGTGTTCAATCTGAAACCCACAGTGCACGCACACATATCATGGGTAAATGGTAAATGGCCTGTATTTGTATAGCGCTTTTACTAGTCCCGCCTAGGGACCCCAAAGCGCTTTTACACGTCCAGTCATTCACCCATTCACTCTCACATTCACACACTGGTGGAGGCAGCTACAGTTGTAGCCACAGCTGCCCTGGGGCAGACTGACGGAAGCGAGGCTGCCATATCGCGCCATGGCCCTTCTGGGCCAACACCAGTAGGCGGTAGGTGAAGTGTCTTGCCCAAGGACACAACGACCGAGACTGTCCAAGCCCGGGCTCGAACCGGCAACCTTCCGATTACAAGGCGAACTCCCAACTCTTGAGCCACGATCGCCCCTGTGGACCTGTGGAAAGTAAGTAAAATCCCCTTTGATGTAAGTAATAAAAAATGACTTGAATTAAAATCATGATTAGAAATTTAAATGTAATATTCATTGCTCAGAAGGCGACCTAATATCTCCTCCTCACATGGGTCTGGATGTAAAGGACATTGATGCAAATATGATTAGATAATCTGCAAAGGCTTTTTTGTTGTGAACTCTAGTTATCTTATTCACTCAATTGGCTATAAATGTGCAAAATGTAAATAACAGCAGAATGCAGTAATTTGTAGAGCCATATTTTATTCGCAGTAGAACGCAGAAGACATAATAAACTGAGGAAAACTTGCCACACATGTCTAAAAAGTTGCCACTGTGTGGCATCCTCTCTTCTTTTCACATCAGCCTATAAACAGCTGGGAACTGAGGAGAGCAGTTGGGAGAGGGATGTTGCTCCATTCCTGCTTGATATATCCTGCTCAACACTCCTGGCTCTTTTTTGTCATATTTTCCATTTCATGTTGCATTAAATGTTCTCAATCGGTGAAAGGTCTGACTGCAGACAGGTCAGTCCAGTGTCTGGACTCTACTGTGATCAATTCTGTTGTAATACATGCAGTATGTGGTTTTACACTGTCTCGCTGAAATACATGAGAACCTCGCTGAAAAAGATGTCAAGTGGATGGAAGTGCTGCTCTAAAAGCTTTCATCAATGATGGTGTCTTTTCAGATCCGCCAATTTTATAGGTCATCTCAATTCCATCAGAGATGCAGACTTTTTAAATGAGCACTGATGCGAGCACTGAACAGTTTTCCACTTTGCCTCAGTCTAATTCAAATCAACTTTTCTGATTTTATGAATCTTTTTGATGATTTTATAGACCAGGAACGTCAAACTCATTTTGCATCCAAGGCCACATACGGCCAGACCAGTGAAACCAGTAAATTTTAGTATAAGAAAAAGAAGTGCAATTTCACCAGTATGTCAGCACAGCAGTTTTTTAAAGATGTCTAGAGGCCCGAATTGCAGTTTTTGTCCACGTGGAACTTTTCCCAAGACGCTCATTTTATACCCACTCAGGCTACAGACCTGTTGCAAATGAACCTAGTTAGTTTATTATGTTTCTCCAACCGTTTCTTTTTAGCACCAAATGTTTTTCAAGCGTTTTATTTTTATTGCCCAGCTTTTTTGAGACATGGTGTTGTCATCAAATCCCAAGATGAACTAATGTTTCGCTTGACTGTTTTCTCAGTTCAAACACTTGACATGTTTTCTATGTTCTATTGTGAATAAAATCTGGATTTATGAGATTTGCAGATCCTTTTTTATTTACATTCTTCCCAACTTTTTTGGAATTACCTCAAATCTGTGAAATACTGCGTTTGTGTAGGTTTCAGATGTAGCAACTTTCCAGTTATTATATTTCACTAGCTGGGCTCACGTCCTCATTTTAGGTTTGACCGCGTTTTAGTAGGTAAAGGTGAACGCTTGGACATGAATTGAGCTGCAGTTTGGGGAAGGCCCCGAAGGGGGGAACCTGTATACATGACAACCGGAAGGCGCGGGTTTGGAGGCGTGGCCCCACTCCTGAAATTCCTATACATAATCTCCAAATACATATAGGAAGTGGGTAAAATAAGTATTTAATATGTCACCAATTTGCCAAGTAAATATATTTCTAAAGATTCTCCCCAGATGTCGGTGACAACCGATCCAATCCACACATGCAATGAAATTAAACCATAGATGTCGATAAATTATGTTTGATAATGAGAAATGACACAGAGAAAAAGTACTGAGCAAGCTTGATGAAATGTATTTAATACTTTCTAGATGACAACTTAATTTTCTTTCTCGGAAACCATTTGAGAGTTTCCTTGGCTGTGTTTTTGGGATTATTGTCTTGAAATGGGAGACGTCCACCCTCGTTTCATCTTCATCATCCTGCTAGATGGCAGCAGATTTTTATCAAGAACGTCTCAGTGCGTTTTCCGTTCATTCGTCCAGCGTGCCGTATGCTGAAAAACAGCCCCACACCGTGATGTTCCCACCTCCAAACTACACTGTTGGCAGGGGCGATTCTAGAATCAGAGCTTTGTGGGTGCTGAGCACCCAGAGAGCTGCCCATCCAGGCAAGGTAAACTTTACTCGTCACGATGAGACTTCTTCCCCGTCTCTGTCAGTCCCTGCATCCTTAAATGT